ACCTGATTACATCTGTTTCTCACAGTTTTGTAGGCAAGCCAGTTGTCATCACTTCGAGTTCTTTTAAATCGCCGAAAAGCCCGATCCCTGCACCGCATTACACTGCGGATGTTATCTGTCAACCAAGGTGCGGGAGGATGCTTTAATTTGACATTCCTCAATGGCGCGTGAACGTTGTATAGGTGCAGGATGTTTTCGTTCAATATTTGAACCATTTCGTCGACAGATGTTAGTAGTAGTAATTAAAAGTAATCAAAATGAAAAAATAATGGTATTTGTTAAAACTAAAACCAAATTTGTAACAAGAGGTACACATATCGTAAAAAAATAAAAAATATTTCCGGAACCTTTGGGTAAAAATGGATAAAATTGTAATATGTTATAGTAAATTATCTGGTTTATCGAATCCTTAATGGTGGACCACTATTTACGCCACACCTGTATATAAATATATTTATTCCAGGTTTTAAAATAAACTTTTGAATTATTTATTGCATAAGGTGATTTGTTGATAAACTAAACAAGTTTTGAAGTTATAAAGTCGTCGAATTACCAATTTAAAAAATACTGTATCTGTTTCGTGTACTACTGCATATTTTTAATCTATGTCAGATATTAGATCGTCATGAGATTGAACTGAGTTTATATTGAGATAATAATTATATATAATACCTATTTATAGTCAATTCATAATTCAGTCTCGATACAATCACATTTCGGTCTCTGATGTATTAAAGTACGAAAATTGGCCTATCCATTAAGTAAAGTAATCTGTGAAATACGACACGTAAATATTGCCATCTCGTTTAACAATTCGGAATTAAATGAACTTTGTGCTTGTAAAAATTGATTGTCTATGAAATGTTTCGCTAGAAAAAATAGAAGGGGTCAGTGTAAGGTGTTTATGAATTTTTATTTGTCAAATTCAGTTGACCTTGTTATCGTGTTGTGTTTGTTGTGTTAGTTTCGGAGCACCAGCGATTATGTCGTAAGTATTTCGTTTATGTTTACTTAATTGTTTGATTATTATACATCAAAATGAACTTTAGGACCTACACTATGTGATAAAAAGGTCATAAAGATTTACGTGCAAATTCGACTCTAAATTCGACTTTAAAATATTTTTGTTACGAAGACAGTGACATAATTGTATGTTTACAGTCACTTTTTGTCTCCTTTACTATTTTAAGTAATTAGGCAAGTTACTAATAAACATACTCAAACATTTTTGATATTAAAATATGTTAAAATTATTGTAAAAAATATGTTTTTTACAATAATTTAAAGCAATACACTCTAACATTACTTCACAACAAGCATGCTAATTAATTAACAACAAGCATTCAAATTTATCCAATGATACTTCAGGTGATGGTGCAGGTGATGGTGTTTAATTCATACTAATAGAAAAACCTACCTGCCTAATATATATTTTGTATAAAATAATATTACATTTTACATTTTTTCATATGTAGGTATTAAACAGAGACGACAGTGCTCTACCACCTGGATCTGGTGGCTATGAAAGCAGTGGTGGTCGTGAACAAAGAGAATCCGCGAGAGGTAAAGTGAGCACCACGTCTCGCCGATTCTCTTTGTCAAGTGCGCAGCTCAAGATGGAACACGATTGAGGATACTAACTATAATATTGATCTTAAAGCCGTGGCCAGTGGGTGGCTCAGGTGGATATCGCCCATGACTTTGGCATTCCGTTGTCTCAAATCCAATCTCCAATCCATTATCTCGCCAGGGTTGTCGGTGTAATCTTTTGGTGGACAGTTCTTCCGCCCCCCTCTCGGACTGTCCGGGGGTATTTTTTCTTCCCTCTCGACGAGATGGCGAAAGTATCTTAACCTCAAATAGTACACCTCCTTGAATTCAAGTAATTACAGTGTACGAACATAAAGAATATGTAAGTATTTAAATGTATATTTATTTATATATATGTGTAATTTCATATTATTACAAATATATATAAATAAATATACATTTAAATACTTACACATTCAATACAATTTCTAAAATATTTATCTCCTGTCTTCAGTTTATGTCCAACAATAATTACTTCAGACCAAATTACCAGAAAGGGTTCATGCCCGGAATCTCTGTATGTCTGGAACTTGACTCATTACTTGCGGAAAGTCTCAAAGATTCTAGGAAAAATGAAAGGCAAAGGCATGACTTCGTTAAAGACATTGACAAGGTAGACCAACAGCTAATAAGTAACGTAAATAAAAAGCTTGGATTTACGACAACTACTTAACATCACGTCTCAACTGGCCGTTTCTGGTATATGATATAAACCAGAACCACTTAAGAACACTGTACACTTTTGTACAGGGGCTCGAATAACTTTGGAATGAAATTAAAAAGACCTTCGTAACTCTACAAACACCTAAGAGTTACCAAAATGCATGTCTTGTCAAAATCTCAAGACGAAATCGTTAGATCCCTTCCAAAAGACAAAAATTTATCAGCGCTCGAGTCACGGCTCCAATTCCACAAGAAATTAATGGTGGGTACGCAGTCCAGTAGAGTTGGATTGGGAAATGTTAGAAGACAGACCGGCAAAGAGATAACAAAATCTTTCCTACACTGAAAATGAATGAATGGTTAACTCTAGGAGAATTTTGTACGATTGGTCAGCTGCCCTATTAAAATGTTACCTCAACGCCTTTTAATTGACTCTCCCCGATCAAAGCAACCTAGTAAGGTGGGGAAAAGCTACAGAAAAGGCTTGTACGATGTGCAGTGCGGAAATAGGTACCTGATGCACTTACTGACAGGTTGTAAGGCGCTATTAGACCGGGGTCATTATTCACGTCGCCAGTATAGGGTATTACAAATCATACGCAAATCTATAAGTTTATCACTGGTGAGAACGAAAAAAGGAATAACAACAAACAAGAACTAACATCGCGTTTGTAAAGGAAGGCTCAATAAAAAGGACTTCACAAAGGCCGTACTCAATTATAAATACTGCCAGTGACTGGACAATATTAGTGGACACGTATGAAAACCATTACAGAATACCGGAGGATATCTGTGCCTCGGCTTCCAGAGACCTTTTTTTTTTGTTTTTTTTGTTTTTTTTTGACGGGGTGGAAAATCCCTTCGGATCTCCTGCTCCTCGGGGCTAGGAGCTAGGAGTATGTGGTGATTCCACTAAAAACCACCCCGACGGCCGGCCTCAGGTGCCCTACTCTGGGAGGACCTGGACCATGTTATTTCAGGTCCTCCCCGAATTGACACCATGCCTAGTCAGGCCCTATCCCAGGGGAAAATCACTTCCCCCCTCAATCGCGACGAGGCGGCCCAATTTCGTCTTAATGCAATCAGGCCGCCATCCTATCCCCTACCGCAACATTCAATCAGCGACCAGAGGTTCCCACTCTCTGGCGGCCCGCGGCCCCGTCGGCGGCTGGCATGGTCGCCGACGTCCTCTACGCTCGGGATCGGCCCTCTCCCGATCCCGTTCAGCGGTCTCTGGAGCATTACAGCTTCACAGAAAGAGACCACTGCGCCCCATCGGCTTCCAGACCTAACATATTTCTTTATGCAATTTCAATTAAGCGCGTAGTATTAGTAGAACTCACGGTGCCGTGGGAAACGAACATCTCTAAAGACCAAGCTTTAAAAATAAACTAGTACTTTGACTTAACCAACAAAATAACTAAAAATGGTTATGTCGTTGCTTTGTATGCCGTGGAAGTGGGTATACCAGCTAAATCCCTCTATAACCTGCTTGGATTGCAAAGAGCTTCAGTAAGCTCTTTTCTTGAACGTATATCTAAAGCGGAATTGCTAAGCTCGTATCAAATATGGTTAGGTAGAGGGGGTAACACAGCAGACAGTGCAGGTGAGCGCTGGCGCGTCGCAAGGAGTAAACCTATATCTGGGTCGCAAGTCCCAGGTGCTGTCGAAGTTGCATGTGTTGCCCCCATCTATCACGCGATGGACCGGGCACCCGCACGGCGAATCCATGGAACGCTAAGAAATAGGTTCTCCCTTTTGTTCAAAGTTGCTTGAGTATAACTCATCATCACAAGTTTATAAACCTCGGGGAACATGCACCAAATGTATAAATTATACATATATTTTCCTTTAGTTGTACTATTTATTCTCATTTGTAAATAATAACTGTTCTTTTTTTTTAGGGTTCCGTACCCAAGGGTAAAACGGGACCCTATTACAAGACTCCGCTCTCCGTCCGTCCGTCCGTTTGTCACCAGGCTGTATCTAATGAACCGTGATAGATAGAAAGTTGAAAGTTTATTTCTGTTGCCGCTATAACTACATAAATACTAAAAACAGAATAAAATAAATATTTAAGGAGGGCTCCCTTACAACAGACATGATTTTTTTGCCGTTTATATAGATATATACATATATATAGACGGCAACCTTCGTGCGCAAGCCTGCCTCGCACTTGGCCGGTTTTTTTAAATTAAAGCTTTTTGTTTTACGTCATGAAAATTAGCAAATTCTTATAATGTGCAAATTGAGAATGGCATAAATAATTTATTAGTTCGGTATTTTTAGATAAAGTTAAGTCTCTACTTTCTAATTGATTATTAAAAAAAATGACATAAAAAATAGTCAGAGTATAGGTAGGTATAATGCCCCTTGACAGTGAATAGTTTGATCTTCTTTTTTGTGTATAATTTATAATGAGCTAATCAATTGTTTGTTGAAATATCTACAATATCTAAATCTATAATTACTATTCAATAATCATTATTTTATCAATAAACACAAATGAGGTTGGTTAAAAAAAATACAAATAAAGGATGCTTTGACTTTCTTTTTTTTTTGGTCAAAGGCACCTGAATAGCTGTCAAGTTAACAGAAGGCCGAACTCTTCATGTGCTCCTGAGAATAAAATCATCACCAATTTGAATTCACTGTTACACGACATACACGTTCGTTACATAAAGCTACAGGGATTTGCCCTACATTATAGAGTGTTTGATGTCATATTCAATGATCTGCACAAAAAGATGAAATATGTCGATCCCTACTACAGGAATCATTCAAGCACGGTATGTATACTGTTTTCTATAAAATAACATTTTTGATTAAACTAATGGCAAATAACATATCATACATAGAGATGTGTAGCTCCTGAGTGAGTGATATAAAAGATATAATATATAATTCACGCCGAAAATGTATCGCTTACTAACACTAGCTATAAATATACATATCAGTAACTCAGTACTAGCTCACTAGCTCAATGTTTCATGAGCGAGCGAGACCAAAGATAAATGAGTGAGATAGATGATGGTTGAGTTAACGCTAAGTTTCTTTATGCAAAATGTACATTATTTCTATAGGATCAAAACAATAATTCAATAACAATAAAGTCAACACTTTATTACTATTAAATTACTATTTGAGAAGAATCATTATTTAATTGTTATGGGCCCAAACTATCAGCGCATACAAAAAAAAACTTGCGCTATGTACGCGCACCAAGGTGCAGCGTACGCCGACCGGTCTAACGGCAGACGGCCGCCACACAATGCGCAATGCGCATCGCCATGTATCACTGAGCTGAATAGATAGAAACATATAATTTCGCTCTAAAGATATATATCACTCATCTACTCGTAGCTCACTAGCGAGTGAGTTTTTATTTTTCTCAGAAATTAATGTAACTACAAGATCATTGTAAACTTAATTTACTGTCAATCATAGAAGATACTGCAGCATGAAGTCTCTAAAAACTTGATCCCACTTGAGATCAGGATGTCCACAAACCGTTTCACATTAAAAATAGTGTAGGTACGTAACTACCTTCCTACCTTCAGCTGGCGGAATTACCTACTCAATAGTACACCTCCATATTTACAGTGTACGAATATAAAGTATATGTATTTTATGTGTATTTATATCTATATATGTATATGCGTGTATATGTGTATGTATGTGTGTAATTGTATATGTTAGTTATAACTGCTATAGCAACTGCAACCTCAGTGCACCTACCTCACAAGATTTCTACACCCCCCAAAGGTTGGCTGGTAGAGAATGCCTTGGGCATTAAGCCCGCCGTTGTACATAAGTGCATAAAGTTGTAAATAAATAAATAAAAAAATAAAAAGGTTGAGAGGTGTGTGTTACTGTTATTTAGTTTTCTTATAAAATATTTTCGTAGGTACAATTTGCGGGCAGCCACTTTGACAAGTTACGTATCAAGAAACCTGATGAATTCGACATGGATATAGTGATCAGTTTACCCCTTAACCATAAAGTAGACCCATTCAATCCCGCGAACAGTGATATAAACTTAGAGCCAAAGGGACCCGGATTCGTACAACTTAAAATGGGTGTACAGTATGAAAAACTGATTAATAAAGCTGCATATGGATGGAAAGACAGTTCCAATTATTTATTGCGTTCAAAATTTATTGAATGGTTTGAAAGTGTTGTGAACTTGGCATTGAACCAATACGAAGTAAAAATCAACTATCGGCCAGTAGTGTATGTGGAAGGTGTTGCGTATGTCATTCACGTGTCCAAGTCTGGCCCTGCGATGACGCTGCTGATTCGTAACCACGAGAGAAACTTCAGTATGGACGTTGATCTTGTTCCAGCTTTGAAGTTCCCAGAAAGTCGTTGGCCAATCTCTAAGACTTATCGCCCCATACCTACTAAATGCAGCAAAGGGTATTGGATAGTCGTGCCAAAGCCTAATAAAGGATTTACAGTTGTGCAAGATCAGTCGCGTGCTTGGCGTATAGGACTTCACAATCAAGAGAGAGAGTTAATGTATAACTCTTATAATTTAAAACAAACTATACGGTTGGTACGTGTCCTCAATATACAGTAAAGATAAAACACCAGCTCCTATCCACAGTTGCCGTTAAAACAGTTTAAACGGGGCTAATATATTTACATAAAGTTTTTCAATTCTGAAAAGATTTAATTGTTCTATGATAAGAGTAGAAGCCAGATTAGCAAAATAATATTATATATGAATTTAATAGCTTAATTCTTAGTACCTTTTTTTTTTTTTTTTTTTTTTTTCCGTGCGGAAATCCCCTCGGATACCACCTGTCGGTGGCATGTCGGACTCGAACCGACTAAAACCGCACGCCTTCGCCGGGTACTAATAGCCGGGGAACCAGGTATACCCTAGAAAGGAAGGCCCTGGAATTCTTAGTACCTGGATGACCGAGCCTTGCTCTTTTTCTTTGAAAATTTTCTAAAAATGAAAACCTAGCTAGATCGATTAATCACCCCCCGAAACCCCCTGCATACTACATTTCATGAAAATCGTTGGAGCCGTTTCCGAGATTCAGATTATATATAAATATATAACGCTAACGCTACGATCTTTACATTTAGAAGCATAAGGCCAATTCTCGTAATAAAAGTTCGGTCACAATTCAGTTCTGATGCACTCTCGATCTCACCACTACATTACATCGGTCGTTAATTACTGTATAATGTCTGTAAAACATTGGTGTACAAATAAAGTATTTATCTATCTATCTATCATAAAAGGTATTTTCGTAGGAAAAGTAATAAACATCCAACTTTGTAATGTGATTATATCGTATTTTAAACCGAAAATTGAATCGGTAATCTGCTAGTCTTATTTTACTACAAAAATACCTTTTACGACAATGGCGAGATCGAGAGTCAGAACTGAATTGTGACCGAACTTTTATTACGAGAATTGGCCTTCCGAGAAGTAACAATAAACTCAGGTGCGGTGAAATGATACTATTAGTATAGATTAAAAACTATATTCCTGGTCATAACGAATAGTACTCAAATAATAAATGGGTGTTTTTCACAAAAAATGACACTAGCAAAATCAGCCAGTTTCACAACTTCAAGCATTTTTATTTTTATTTTTTTAAATGTTACATGTGGAAGTGAAGTGAATTTTATATGATTAAGGTAAATGTTTCAAAATAAAATTAGTAAAAAAAGTACTATTAAAAGCGGATGGTTTATATTAAAAAAAGCAAAATAGGAGCTAAAGATTTCGTGTCCCACGGTGCTCTCGGAGATTTTAAATACATCTCACTTTTAGAATATTAGTCTTTGAGTATCTGTTTGTCTAAAAGTTTGTATGTCTAAAAGTGTTTTTTTTTCAGTTTTTACGAGATGAATTTATATATATTTTAAAAAAATATCATAATTTTAATCTTGTCCTACGAAAACAATAGTACCGGAAAATCCGGTTTCGTCACGGTGGATTTGATATCTTACACAACACAAAATTTAGTAATTTGTATCTTTTCTGCCTTCCTCGCAACATTGTAATCGTATATGCTACCGCCATAGCTGTTTTAAACTTAAGTTGCGCCAAATACTGAGACGGAAGTGTTGGTGTTTTCGGTAACGGTTTAAAAACTACGAAGAAAATATATTGAAAATTCTGCAGAAACAGCCGAAGTTAGATTTATTTTAATATAAATCTAACTTGGGCAGAAACAGCCGAATTTTCAATATATTTTCTTCGTAGTTTTTAAACCATTATAAGTAAATTAAAGGTTTTCGATATCAGACGATTGCAAAAGTAGAGACTTAAAAATGAGTAATGGCCAATATGGTATTTTGTTCCAGATGAAGAAATTACGCGATTCATTAGAAATGAAGAAAATAACCAGTTACTACATAAAGACCATATTTTTGTGGGAGATTGTGGCAATTAATGACGAAGAATACTGGCGCAATAGTCCAGCGTTTTTATTTAAACGAATGGTTGGGAAACTGTACGAAGCTTTAATGACGGGGAGTATTCCTTATTTTTGGAACAAGAACAACAATCTTATCGGTGGTGTTAATAAGAATATTTTGATGTCCTATGCGAATAAGTTGTTACCATTGATGAAAATTTTAGAGGACCCTTCTCAGTATAAATTGGTAGCCAAATATTTGTTGACTTATAACGAATTTACTGACTACAATAGGAGATTTTTGCATATATAACCGTTTTGCTTCATATTTTAAGTTGTAAGTTTTAAATCATATTTTTTATAGTTTTAAAACAGCACTTCATCATCAGCCTATCGCAGTCCACTGCTGGACATAGGCCTCTCCCATTGCACTCCACTTAGATTGATTTTGGGCTTCTCGCATCCAGCTCCTGCATCTTGCGCAAATCGTCACTCCACCTGGTCTGCGGGCGTCCTACACTACGTTTGCCGAGACGACACTTAAAGTATACTAAAATAATTATTTATGACTTACTTGGGATCTCTTTCTGAAATCTCTTATTTTTGTCATTGGTATGTATCAATCTCTTTATCTCTAAATAAAACGACATAGTCAATCAACCAAAAGTGTGCTTCATTACTGAACAAAATTTTCAAATGAAATTGTTGATCAATAGCAATGTTTCCTTCAGCCCATTCAGTGAATGTGCGGCGCAAACGATGATCGCGTAGCTTCAATTCCTGCACAAGTTGAATCCATCCGTAATCCGAGATCTTTACGCAAAATTTTCCATAAAGTGGATGGACACAAGTTTAATTGTTGAGCCCGATGACGAATCGACACATTTAGATCATCATCAAAACTGCGCTGCACACTATCAACCGCTAGTTGTTTTGCGATAACGATCCATAGTTTCTCGAATTAATCGCTCCGATCAACGATTATGCAATAAAATGCACCTAATGCTGGATGAGTTTCTTGAACCGAACCGTGTTTTCGTTGCTCCGGCGTAAGTCTAACCATGATGAATTGCTAAACCAAACTAACCTCAAATTAACGTAGAACTGTCAAATCGTTGCCAATTTAAAGTTTTCCGCCTCTAAAAAAACACCCGTTACAAATATTTGGTACAGTTATTTACAGTGATATTTTTTAACGTAGTGGGTTTTTATTTGCAGTTAGTGATAAGTTGCCTTATATAAGACCACAATAATAGTTTAAGAGATATATAATAGGGCACAATTTATGTTAATATAAGTTACCTAACCTTGTTTGTGTTTATAAGGATAGGATTTAGGATAAAGTTATATTGAAAAGTGTAACTTAAATTTAGTGTTGTCACTAAGGCAGCAAACTACGTAGGACAACAGCACTTCAAAGAGAAGGAAAACTTGAAACAAACCCTACACCAACCCGTCTGGCCAGCGCAGTACAGTAGGCCAAAATCTCCTTTATAAGGTAAGGTCTATGTCCAACAGTGGACTATTAAAGCAATCTATGCAATAAGTTAACCTTACAGCTTCTATATATTAAGTCCTAAATCCGTTGTTTTGAAGAAGTGCGCGGTATACCCGAGATAATAAGGAGATAAATAGATGAATCAGATGAAAGCTGGACTAGAAAGACAGTGTTACAATGGTACATTTTACGATCCAACCAAGACCCAGAATGAAACATTGCCTTAATGACTGCTGGACCCTCAGTCTTTCGTTCACCGGCGCCAAAATAGCACACAATTTTTTTGTAGGTAGTTATACCTACAAAAAAATTGTATGCTATTTTGGCAAAACTTGATTTGCAGTATTAAATAAAATACTTTATTTTACATATATGACTATAATATCAATGAAAATAATGTAGCATTGTGTAGTAATTAAAGAAAAAACTTAATGGTTCCTTTTAGCAAAACTAAATGTGTCAGTTGGTCCCTTGGTAATGTACTACCTCAGCATGATTTAACAGTAAAAATAAAGAAAAAAAACTTTATTACATATATTTTTGAAAAATGAAACAAAATTTAAATCTTTCTAATTATTTCTACAGTTTGTCGACAAAAATGTTTATTGAAATACCGAATCTAACTTACGTCTAAATTTAACTCTACTTCAAAATCAGGCTGAGCCGAAAAACCTTCTAGATTACCTCTATGTCTGCACTTCCGACAAGTTTTACATAAAAATCATGTCAATCTTGCGGAATGACGCATAACCTCCTTGAGCGAGTCATTTAAATAGGTAAGTTTTGTTTAAAACATACTCGTATAGGCAATATGGCACATGGCAATCCGCGAACATTTTTTTAAGTCATCCGCCATAAAATCTTCATTTAAATTTATTTTCATGTAATTCGTGAACATTTTATCCTTTTTAACATAATTTCTTTAATATTGAACCATGTAACTTTCTATACGTCTATCGTTGTCTGCCTTTTAATTATATTATTTCCTGACTTCAGCAATAACAAGAAATCTTCATTTCTCATCCTATGCTCATGCATTGGATTTGTCTTCTTACAAGTTTCCATAACCTGAAGGTAATCATCCGGTGTATAGAACCTCCGTTGACGATTTAGGGTACATTCAATATTTGCGAAGTTTGAATCGTTCGGGAGAAAGTAAGGCCCGATTCACCATTCGTTCATCCATTTCAATTTTATTATACAACACAGATTTAAACGACAATACCTTAGATGTTGTAGGTAAATAGAATAATTTTAACAAGGAACTAAGTATTTTTTTTTAAATAAAGATTCAACCCGCATTGTTCTATATGAGGTCCAAGGTTTAAAATAAATACAAGAAATTATGTGACATGGTTCTTTTTAGGAAAAGAAAAATTTACAAACTTTTTAGATGGTCCAGTTACCAAAGCACACGGATCTTGTTAATTTATTGAACTATTCAGTCACAGTTGTCGGATCATTTTGATTCTTACAGGGTCGATAGAAAGTACATTTTGAAAGGTTTCTGCATACTTAACTCGATTTTGGCATGTGTGTGGATTGGTTCCTTTTTGCATCATAAGTAGGTGCAATTCTATGTGCACTTCACGAGATGTGTCGACCACTTGCTTAGCTAGTTCTTTATAAATGTAATGATTACTCGGACAGCAACTACGAGTATAGCGTCTTGATTCAAAACAGCTCATAAACGAAAATTACCGATTTTATGTATTTTACGGCGTTTGAAGCTTTCTACGGATGCAGCAGCAGCGCCGCACCGGCTGTGCTTGGAAGCTGTACATACAAGCATAAATAGTTGTGCTTGGAAGGTATAATAGAGCGAGGTTGTATAATGATCTACTATCTGGTCCCCTACCATAGTCTCATACAAGAAGGCCAATTCTCGTAATAAAAATATGTCCGTTTGAATTGAGGAGCCACTTTTCATATCTTATTGAAATAATATTATTATTTAGTATAAAACTTAAAAAAAAAATAGCTTTGATTTTGTGGTATAATACTTTTAAAGTTATATGAACTGGGTGGCTCCTCAAATGTAAATGTTTGGATTGAAGAGCCACGTCACAACTAGGAACATAGTGGATGTATATTTATCATAATTAATACGATAATAATAAGATAATAATAATGTCACTGCCGAACAAAGGATGAGATGGTTTGTTACGATGACTATAATTCTTACTGTAAAATTTGTCAAAGCACCGACCAACCAATGTTAATTCATTGTATAGCTTACGTCCAAATTGATTAATACTTAAACACTTATTTAACTGAAGAATTTCCTTATTTCAATAATTTGTTGCAAATTAAATTTTAAAAAGCAGGCCTTGTGATTTCTGATTTTGTCATGGTCATGTCATGTAACGAATTCATAAGGAATATTAAAAAGTAATTAATTTTTCAGATACCGATTATATATAAAGTTTATCTGTACATATTTATTTGGTAGAAATTGAAGAAATGTTAGTGTCTCTCGTTTTTAAGGTTCCTTTTTTTTTGCCATTTGGCTACGGAACCCTAAAAACGAGAGACACTAACATTTAGTATAAATGTCATGGATATGTATTTGTAACTTAGTAGCTTAGTACCTTATGTAAAATGATTATAGTATTCGTTATAGTATATACATATGACATGATATTTATTTCTGTAAGTAAATCTTTTCAGATATTTTTACAAGTCGTTTTTTACAGTGTGTCAGTTTTAAAATTAAATTAAATTAAAAAAGTTAAGTAAATACTCTTAGCACTTAGATTCTATTTATTTAATAATTAATTATAATTATATTAAAGCTATATTAATGAAACCATAATTTAATATTACATGCCTGAATAATATTTTTAAAACTTATTTTTCCCTTAGTACCGTGATCTGATCCATCAATGGGACTAGGAGACTAATTAGTTTCGTTTAGATACAATACATTTGGTGAAAACGAAACCGCATTGATAGTATGGTCTCATCTGACCATTCAGATGAGACTATATATACTTATTTTTTAAATGAGGATCGATGAAAACAAATGAAAAACGGGTCGGAATCACCTTGCGATTATTTTTATAGTGGTCGAAACGTCGAAATAGAATATTGATTGTTGAAGATAAACATCATGCTCCGACCATTAGGAGAGCAGAGCAGTAAGCAAGAGCGCATGTGAAACTGTGGAGGTTAACATAAATTTTTCAACAGATCCTATGAAATTGTATTTGTTTTTTTGTATTAAAAAAAAAAGACAACTCCCGCATTAGGAATATATCCTGTGTCGTTGGGGACTTTACATGAAACGGGCACAAAGAACACCCAGACTCAGAACAACAATTTATGGACACAAAGTGTCGTCCCATGCGGGGATCGGACCCACAATACTCAGCGTAGTAGTGAGCGGCGTGGCGACCGCGTAAACCACTACGCCATCAGTGCAGTTAATTATGTGTGAAACATGATATCATAATTAATTGTATAATTAATATGACCAAAAGGTTTATTCTTACTGTATTCGAGTCTTATATTTTCTTTTAGAATATCAAACCATCAACAACTTTTAGTAGTCCAATAGCTGGACATAGGCATCTCCTTAGAAAGGAGATTTTGCTCTTTTGTATAGGGTTTGTTTCATGTTTTCTTTCTCTTTGCAGTGCTGTAGTCCTGTGTAGTTTGCTCCCTTAGTCGGCTCTTACGTCACCCACGGGATGTAATTAAATAGGGGTGGTGACTCGCTCACTACAGGTATTATCAATCATCATCAACAGCCTTCTATAGTCCACTGCTGGACATAGGCCTCTCCTTAGAAAGGACAGGTATACCAAACCAAA